AAACACATTCACACATTAGTAATATAAATAGTAAGTCTTTCAAGACATATTAGGTTATAAAGCTGCATTCAAAATAGTTACAAATGCTGTTTAAAATAGTTTAAGATGGGGTATATCATGCCACACTTGAGGACATGTCGACTTTCCAAAAGTATTTCATGTCAACCAACCTTTTATTAGAAAATGTACTGTTTAAATGAGGGGTGCTAGATGAGGCAGATATTTACAGTACCTACAATCCATGCAGGAAATAAAACTAGCAAATGTTTGCACTTTAGCAGCACTTTATTGCCTGTGAAGGTTGTGAATGACTCTCTACTGCAGGCAATGGCCATTTACATCTACATATCCATAACAGTATAAAAAAAAAAGAGTATTATTAGTATATACTAATGATGAAAGGCTAGAAACGCCCCTGCTGTCTATAGAAACTATACTTGTTGTCTCAAGTCTATGGCAGGTGCAAATGTTGAAATACCAGCATGACCACATTTAAAACATTCTCTGTCTGTTTTGGTATCTGGAGTTTAGAGGCCAATAGATCATGTTTGGGCTGTGTTCTGTGAGCCATAAACATTCAGGCAGTGACATGGTGCTGTCGACGTACAAAATACATAATTCAAAACACAAAGTTTTCAAGTTACCTGCGAGAGGAGGTCCTATCAGGAGCGTAACGCTTTCCATGATAGACAACAGGCCGAGCGCAGATGGGAATCGACTCATCTCCACCGTGTCCATCAGGACGGTGAACATCAGTGAGCCTACCACGCTCATAGACAGTCCGTACGCCAGCACATACATTAACAGCACTGGGAAACTTGCAGAAATGCAGCAAATACTATTACTGAGTCCATTTATTAGGAGTGCGGCTGAGAAAACATAGATATGCCGACCTTTAAACCAGGGCAGACTGAAGAGCACTCCAGCGGGAGGCCGCACAATGATGTTGACAAAGCCCAGGATGGAGAGCAGCAGGGCAGCTCGGCTTGGATCCATTTTGTGAGCTGATGCGTACGGGACCAGGTAAATAAGCGGCACCACAAACCCCAGCATCATCCAAGTGATGCCCAGTGAAAACACCCGAAATCGCAGGTTGCTACAGAAGAGGTCAAAGGCCATGTGTTTTCTGAGGGACGATGCTAAACTCTGAAAGATCCCCAGCATGCATCCCTTTTTGCCTGGGGTTCTGGGACCGTTGCTTATCACCTCTGTCTTTCTGGGCTTGCGAGGCCTGACCGGTCTCATAATGGCTCCGCAAACACAGCAGTTGAGCAGCACAGCACCGAGTACCAGAAAGCTCCCTCTCCAGCCCAGCGTACTCTGCAGATAGTCACCTAAAAAGGGCAATGTAGACAGACCCAGAGCAGTACCAGTGGAGGACATAGCATTGACAAAAGGACGACGGCGCACAAAGTAGTGGCCAAGTATTGTGACAGCGGGCTGGAAGCTGAAACAGAAACCCAGACCTGTGAAGCAAACAGAGGGTTATGCATTATATAGAACTGACTGATGGATGAAGTTCATTGTACTTTGGTAACTAACAGTGAACAGCTATTATTTACTTACATGCCAACTATCAAAACTGTAACTGTAAATACATCTAAGCTGTAACTGTATTTATAAATAATAACATTTATTGTTGTTGTTATTATATGATTTAATAACTAATAACCAATCAATTGAAAATGAATGCATTTATTATTACTAGTTGTATATTATTAATTATATTAATAATAAATACATAAAATCTGTAACTGTAAATATAATACTAATTATTATTATTGTTGTTGTTGTTATTATATGGTTTAAATAATAATCAATCAATTAATAATAAATGCATTTATTATTATTATATCATTTAATAATGAATCATCAATTAATTAATTAATAAATACATCAATTTGATTATTGTAAGAAAAATTTTAATATTTGGATAGTAAATATTAAGGTATATAACAATCAATAATTATCATTATTATAATTATATTTAATAATCAATAATATAATAAATGCTCATGTATTATTTACTTGTATGCTGACTTTCTGAGCTATATAATACATTTATTTATTGTTTAAATAAGCTACACAAATTTTGTATTATTATAATTGTTATTATATAATAT